GCCCGGCGCCGGCCTTGTGCCGCTCCGTGCACTGGTTCCGCCGCGGGCTGCGGCTCCACGACAACCCGGCGCTGCAGGAAGCGCTGCGGGACGCCACGTCCCTCCGCTGCATCTATATCCTGGACCCGTGGTTCGCAGCCTCCTCCGCCGTGGGCATCAACCGCTGGCGGTGAGTGGCACCGGGCCTGCGGGCCGCGCGTGGGACCGTGCGGGGCGAGGAGGCTCCCGCGGCACCGGAGCGCTCTTGTGGCGGTGTGGGCCGTGGCGGTCAGGCCGCAGCAGCACACGCTTCCGTTTCGGGCCCACTTGCTGCACCCCCCGGCCCTCCCGCAGGAGAGCGGCTGTGCCTCGTCCGCTTGGCCTCGCCGCGGTTTTGCCAGCGATGCTGCCTCGCTGTGTGGGAGGATGCCTTCAACTTTATGTAACGGCATTAGACTTTATCAGTGGGGCGAGTGTGTGAGAGCAGCAACCGATGGACATTTAGCTTTGGGAAATTCTTTTCCCTGAATTTAGAGACAATAAAAGGGCAAAGAATCCGCAGCTTCGTGGCTGCAGCACGCCTCCCCTCTGCCCTTGGGCTGCCGGGCGCGCGTAGGCATGTGCGCACGCAGCTCCGTTCCTCCCGTCACTCAGACTTCTTTAGGGAAATACACATCGGCTGCTGCTAAGAAACTAGAAATGAAGCTCTATGGGCTTTCCCTCATCTCTGCAAATGGAAAAATGTATAGCATGGGTCATATCTGTGCAAAGATCAAGACCTGATGTACCTATAGGCAGTAACATTACGTAATGCTGTTGTGTCAGGTCTCAGCAGCCTGAACATTTGGAACTCCAGTTCAGATAGGGATTCTCCTGAGCAAGACTCCCCGGTATACAAGTGAAGCAGATCTCCCACTACCCCCTCGGAGGAAGCCGACAGACAACCACCTGGCTAAAACGCTTTGAGAGCTCTTGGCAATGTCACGTGGCTGTGCACTAGGGAAACTGTATTTGTAATTGATTGCCTCTGCTGTGCACTTCAGCTTTGTTTCAAGGAATGGGATTGTATGGGTCATATCTGTGTCTTTCTAGAATCCCACAGCAGAGGATGGCTTAAAAATCGTAAATGTGCAGAAAGATACCTCAGTGTAATCATTTAAAGTACAGAAAATTGTGAATTCTGTTATAGGACTCTGAATTGATCTTTCCATAGACCAGAGAGGCGGCAGCAGACAGAAATGCCTTTCACGTGCTGCTGTTGTTGCTGACTGTCCTCATTTGGAAGAACCAAAGTGGTGCCACAACAGATTAATTCCTGATCTGTTTAATCCTTGGTTGTTTCCACCAACATTGTGAAGGGAGGGAAACAGTTAGGAGTCTTCATTATGTTGTAATAATGGAATATATGAGCAAGAATAGTTTTTTAAAATAATTTTTTCTTGGAAGTATGGAACTACTGCAGATGTCAGAAATCAGCACTACTGGCTGTTAGGCAAAAAACATATTAGCAAGTTACTTATGTTGGCCAAAGTTTCATTCATTCCTGTTGTGAGCCTTGGCTTTGTTTTGCTAATTTTTAATCCAAATATTTGTATTCAGAGTTCTGTTCTTCTAAGGCAAATGCTTATGTTTTACCTAGTTCTCACAAATTTATCATGTTGAAAATCCTGTTATTTAACTGCACAGTATGTGTGAGCCATATATGACTAATGCTTGTTAAAATTTTTACAACACCTGGGACAACTGTGCTTGTACTTAATAAATGGAAAGTGGGCTGGGGCTCAGGGAGTGATTTGTTTAGGTTACCTGGACCTGTTTCTGGGTGTCCTCCTTTGTGAAAGAGCGCCCTTCTTTCTGTGAGCCCTGCACACTTCTCTCCCTCCAGGAGCACAGAGAAAACTTGTTCTGTCTGGAAGCTCACAGTTCACATTATGGGTGGTGCAGTTGAGGAGGGAGAAGTTGCCACTTTGCAGTGCAGTTGCAGCTTGGCTTTCCTTACTTGTGGGTGGTCTTTAGGGAGCTGAGGCAGATACTCACTTCTGGCAGATCACACTGCAGAGTGGGCATGGAGGATGGAGGGAAAGGTAGAGGTTGGCAGGCTCACTTACAGAGGATTGTGTATTTGCCAGCAGTGCCAGGTGCTGAGGGGACACTAAAGTTTTAAAGCTGATGTCTTTTGCAGAATTAGACAAAACGAAGTGACGTTACTATGTAGATGGGATGATATGTGTCTGGGAAAGAAAATATTACACATTTGGTGTTTTATAGCTTAGTGGGGCATTAGTAAGACATACCATTAAATGCAGAAAGCACTTACATGGTTTTTTAGAGTTTTGGGGTGAGAGGGAATAAATTAATGTCTTGGTATGCTCTCATCTCTGTGCCTTCATGGTGCAAGCTGAATTGCATTTCTCTTTGCAATTATTCAAAGTACAGATGATTCTTGCCTCAGGAGATCTTAGAGCTCAGTCTTGTGCTGCTGATGAGCTAGGAGAGTACATTTCTCTTCTGTGACATGGTGTATTTGTAGCTGGAACTGTGAAACTGGCACAGTTCTTGCAGCATTTCATTACTTGGAGTAATGCATCAAAATTTTTCTGCTTCATATGCAAAATCCCTTTTTGCCCCAAAACCTGTAAAAAAATGTACAGTAGGGAATTACATGGTTTGTTTTTCTCCATGTAATGTGGAGAGAAGAGCTGACAAGTGTGTTCTCCCACCTCTAAGGGAGAACATGGGAAGTGGGTTGCAGTAAGAAGAAAATCCTGGAAATCTCTTGGATCTGGACAAGCACAAATTGCATATGAGTGAATGAAAGGTGGCTGGTGCTGCAATTTTACAAAAGTTTTCAGACAAACCAGAGATAAATATGAATTCTTGTTTTTTGGTTCTTATCCAAACTTCCAGTCTGATTTGGTGATGCAGATTTGCTGGAGTTCCATGCAAATTCTGATTTGCCTTTTAGCTGTAACCCATCTGACTAACACTGACTGCTGTTGTTTCTTCTCTGCAGATTTCTTCTCCAGTCCCTGGAAGATCTGGACAACAGTTTAAGGAAACTGAACTCTCGCTTGTTTGTTGTGCGAGGGCAGCCAACAGATGTCTTCCCAAGACTCTTTAAAGTAAGAGAATAGCTTCTTGGAGAATAATGAAGAAAAATTGACGACTTGGTGCTAAACTTGCTTTCACTCCGTAATGACTGGTGATTCCCTCAGCATCTCTTTAACTATAACTAGTTCTTCACTATAACAAAGTTTCTTCTTTACCTACAACTATCTATAAAGGCCAGCTTGGGAGCCAGATCCGCACCTGAACTCAGATTTCAAAAGAAATTCTGTTGTAGGGTATAACCTAGTATCAGGGTGCTCAAGCTTCTCTTTTTGGATGGTGGTCTTGAACTTTGTTTCACTAAGTCACCTCTCACTGGGCTGCTCTGTGACACACAGAGCCTTCTTTGTGGACAACTTCTTCCTTGGTGGTTATTTGCTTACTGCACTTTTTACCTAGGAAAACTTCTGTGTCTATAGACCTTTAGAGACAACAGAAAAAAAAGTACACTGATCTGTATATGAATTGCAAATAGGATTTTGTGTTAATATTTCAAATTTCTGGAGTTTAATGTTAGCTGACTTTTCTTTTTCTGTTCAAAACTGTAGTTTAGTCATCTCAGCAGCAGGATGGATATAGCTTGGGTCCAAGCTTCCTGCTGATGTACTGTTTAGGATGTGGAATATGCAGTTGATCAATAACAGATTAGTGGGGTACATTTCTAAAGTGGTATGTCAGTGCTGCAGATGCCAGGGCTAACAAAAGTGTCTCCTTGAGTATCAGGGTTTCTCATACATTATCATTCTTCTCCATCCTGCTCTAAGATTTTATTTCCCAATGTCTTTGAAGCTTTTTGGCAATGTCTTTGGCTTTGTCTTTAGTGTTACAAAACTAAATTAAAAAAAACATGGCTCCCAGTAGTCTGAGTTGGGGTTGTCATGTGGGCTGTGCCTTACATATGGTTGACAGAATTGGTGTCCCCCAAATTTTACTATAGACCAGCTGCCTAGGAGGAGAGGTAGCCTTGAGTCGGTACCCTCCTTCTGTAAATGGTTCTTATGAGTATCTTCTGGAGGAAGGCAGGTAGTACTGGGGAGAGGAACTGGACTGTGCAGATTAGAAGGGGCACTGACACTTATTTTGGCTTCTGCATCTTAACACATGACACAAATTATGTGCTGCTTTTAGCCTTTTCAGAGTCTGGATTATTTTTATCTTTTGATCTGCAAATAAGTTCCGGCTAATAGTAGTTCATGCCCTCTTTAGTTCAGGGTATTCACAGGATAATTAAAGCTTTATCAGAGAAAAATGCTCACTTTGGTTAAAGAACAAAAACTAGTTGGCAGAGTCTGGAGAGATTGTGTAATTGGCCAGAACTGCTTCTTGCTGCAGTCTGTTTTGTCTGGGCAGGTGAGTTGATGGATATCTCAGATGTGCTGTAACAGAGCTGAAAAAAGTAGAGGGAAGTTTATGCTATTACCTGGTAAATGTATGGCTTTGGTAGGGATTGGAGGCCTCTCCAGAGCTGCTGCACTGAACTCTGAATTAGCAACAGCTCGTGCCTTGCTGTCAGCTTTTGTGGAGAGGAGAGTTATGTCACATTTGCTACTGCAATACTTAGACCTAATGTAATTTCTACTCTCTCTGCCAGTAGCTGAGCTATGTTGTCACTAACAGTCACTGCAAAGGCACTACTGTGCATGGATACCATGACAAGTGTACTACTTGTTAGTAATGTGTTAGCCTTTGCAGAAGTTTTTTGTCTGACTTCTGAATAAATGTCTGTAGTTTTACCTTTTCTAAAAAAGTGCACTGTTTGTTCACTCAAATATTTTCATAATCGCTTTGGGGTTTTTTGCCCCCTACAGTTTTTCTTTGCTCTAGGTTATATACTAAGAGGCAAGTTGTCAGTCATGACTTTTCTTTTGTATATCTGCAGCAATTTACTGTCATATGGGTTTTCTGTTTGGTTGTGCTTTGCTTCCTGTGTACTACTGCATCACATAGAGCAGTGGCCTTCTCAAAACTGTAGGAAATACATTAATTTAAAATGTTGAATGCTAAAATCCTTCTAAGCCTTAATGGTTTTTTATTCCATTCTTTCAAGAAAGTAATGTGTGTTCCTTTGAGACCAAATCCATCTTTTCCAAGCCTTCCAGTTGATACTGGCTCCCTTAAAGAAGAAAGAAAAGTTTAAGATATTAAATCATGTAGGAGCAGGGGAGGGCCTGGAATGTGTCTGTCTGACTCCTGCTCTCAGTTATGGATGTTGTCGTGTTCGTACTTTGAAAAATGGATGGAGAATCTCTTTAATATCTACATTCATTGGTACATAACTGGTTAATTTCTCTGTCCTTCCTAAAATTAATTTCAGGGCTGAATGCAAGTTTAAAAATGTAGGTGGCTTGTACAGTTGTTTTCTACTTCTAAATCCCGTTCCCCATCTTTGGCATTATTTTAATGGTCTTCAGGGAACTAACCACATTTGTTCTTTGTGCTTTGCTTCTGTTTCACAGGTAGAAAAGCCTCTTGTGTATACAGGGGTGATTTAGACTGTATCACTTGGAAAATGTGATTCCTAGTTGTGTGAGGGTTTTTTTAAAATGTCTGTAGATTTCTGGTTGTGTTTGCTAAACAAATCTGTGGGCTGCCGCTCTGCTTAATGTGTGTCTTGGGAGGGTCGCTGTGGAAACCATTAAACCTCTTCTCATAGGATTCATTTTCTGAGGAAAACTAGGCCATAGACTTTGAGAACAATCCGTGGTCTAGAAAAGCCTGGAAGAGGCTGAGTACTTTCATAAGGCCTATGCGATGTAATTTTTGAGGGATCTATTAAAGGTATGAAGATCATAATAAGTACATGGCTTGACTATGAGGGTTGGAACTAGGTGATCTTTAAGGTTCCTTCCAGCTCCAACCATTGTATAATTCTACAATTCTAAAATAACTCCAAAAAGGCAGGACTTTAAATCTGAATTGCAGTATCACACTCTACTGTGCACACCAGAAAGGTTCACTCAGTTGCTGTCCTATGTCCTGCAATTTCCTGTTTCTTTCTGTTTGGGTTGGACATTGATTTCCTATTGTGTGATATCTTTAAAGAGACATCAAGAAAAATTTAGAATGTATTGGTTTTACTTAATGTCTTCACATAAAAGCACAGGGGGTTGAGCCGAACTTCTGTTGAGGGAGTTTTCTGAAATGCTTTTTCTGCAAATGCTGGAAGAGGATGGTAAGGTTACTTCAGGACAGCATGTGCAACAAAACGTGGTATTGGTAGGCTCAGGGGCTGAGCTGAAACATATGAACAGTAATAGACAAGAACTGAACCTGCTCTGATATGTTTTAAACCTGACATCTACAAATTTGCATAGCAGATGTGATGTTTGCTAGAGCTGATAAAATTGTTGCTTCTTTGGTTATCTCAAATCCAGATTGCTGTTCCTCACAGCGACACTCTCAAAGCTTCCAGAACTTTAAACTGCTCAGGAATTCTGAAATCTTCGTTTGTAATTGTGCTGGTTAGAAATAGTCTTCTATTTGACAGCTGAGTGTATTGTTTTTCTTGCAGGAATGGGGAGTCACTCGTCTCACCTTTGAATATGACTCGGAGCCGTTTGGAAAGGAGAGGGATGCAGCCATCGTCAAACTGGCCAAGGAGGCGGGTGTGGAGGTGGTGATAGAGAACTCCCACACCCTCTATGACCTGGACAGGTACGGGGAGAGGAAGGGCAGACATGCTGGCTGGGCTGAGCTGGGATTGTCTTGTCTGCAAAGACTTCAGTCTTCCATTACACTGATCACTGTCATCCTGAGTGAGCCTATAAGGATTACTCTGCACACTCCACTTTTGATTAGAACACGTCAAAGTGCTGACAGTGACGTGAATGTACAGAAAGGTGTTGCCTCAAGCTTATTAAAACTCTGTACTTGAGTTTAATTTAATTTGCTCAGCTGTGTCCTATTGATTGCTCTCCTTGAGCATGTCCTCAGTGTATGGACTGCTTTTTTTCTGCTTCATTGTAATAAAGGTAGTTGAGCTGTTGTCTCAAACAGGTTATGAAAGCAGGGCTTTTAACCGATGGATGTGTCAGGACAGCTGGAAGAAATAAAACAAGGTAGATTGGGACAAACTTTCCTTTTTCTAAAACCTGAATGCTTTGTCTTTGTTGTGTATTGCTGTGTTTGTTGTTTTGATGTTGAATTTTATATGTTTACTTATATGTATAATCTCTCTATATCTATGTGATTTTAAACGGTGGTGACAGTCTTTCAGCTAAGACTCTAAGGTATGCTTGACTGCAAAGTCAGTACAGTGTTTCAGTACTATTCTTACAGGTAGCTTTCTTTTTTTCTTCCCTCCCCTTTTTTTTCCCCTTTTCTTTCTGTGTGACTAGTACCAGTAATGCTGATTGTAGATTTTTCTCCTATAAATCTTTAACATCCATAATTTCCTATGTGAAGAAGCTTTGCAATGAGCAAATACTTTGTGAAGATGTTTGTCTCTGGAGTGAGAAGGATTCTTGCACCTGTCTCGTGAGTGGGTGCTGCTTTCTCATTCTGCATTAGGTGACAATGTTTATTACCAATGTTTATTACATCCTCACCTCTTCAATGTCAACAGCCATCACATTCTTTTTCATGTCACCTATGTCTTTTCCAAAGTGGAGGGTTTCAGGTGGAATCTGTTCTAAATCTCTTGTAAGTTTTATCACCTTTCTTTATACTTCTGGGTATTTCTAGAGATGGAGAGCAGTGGTGAAAATGGTGACTAGTGTGCAAGATGCAGAACCAACATGGATTTTTAGAGTGCTATAATGTGTCTTGTCTTTTCCTAACAGTCAGTAGCATTATTTCTGCTTTTTCCTGAGTGCTGCTAAATATTAAACCGATGTCTCAGGGCTTCCTTCCAGAATGGTCACAGCTATTTGAGAGGCTGCTACTGTATAAATAAATTTAGGATTGCATAGCTATGCATATGGAGAAACAACATGACCAACACTGCAATTTCATCTGATATTTTTGGCAGCTGGTTATGTGGCATACAGGGAAATTTTTAAGTTTCCTTTTATCTTTGGCTATCCCAGATAGCTTATTGCGTCAGTAAACTTAATCATCATGCTCTTTTTTGTCCCTTCCCAATACTTTGTAAAAAATATTAAGCAGCACAAGCCCTAGCTCAGCTCTGTCTAGGATTTTTCTTCCTGTTGGAAAAATAGATTCCTTCTCTAATTCTGTGTATCAAAGAATTTTCTGTCTGCGTGGACTCTTTTCTTTATAGCAAATTATTGTGGTTTCTTTAATTTTTTTCAGTGAGGGATCTAGTCAGATGGCATCTCAAAATGCACGTAGTATATATCAAGTAAATCTGCCTTGCCCCAGGCTCAAATGTTTCTAATAGATTTTCAGGCACATCTTCCCTTTTATCAAGGCCAAATTAACCCTCCAGCATATTGCATATATCCATGCATTCACTGTTTCCATAAGTATTTTCTACCCATCTGCTTAATGCTCATATCAGTATATTCATTTGTCCCTCTGATGTCCCTGAAATGCTTTCACAATCTGGAGTTGTATTTACTTTATTTTTTCCCTCATAGTATTTTTTATATTTCATGCAGCAGCTATTAGTTTGTGTATTTCGTGATGTCCTTTACAATTTCTGGGTGAATATTTGGTGACCCTGGCAAGATTTTCAAGCATAGCCTTGTTTTATGGCACTTTTTCCTGGTCTCCCAATATGTCACTTCATCTGATACATTTTTTGAAAAAAATAAAAACCCAAGAGTCATAACTTCCCTAGATACCTCCATAGTGAATACACCTGCAAAAATATACGCAGGGGTTTCCTTGTGCTGTTACAGTCTCTCCTTTCTTTAATAAGCTGATCACCTCTTTGTCCTATAAATATTCTGGAGTATCTGTAAAGGGGATGTTTTTGGTTGGTTTTTTTTTGCACTACTTACACCTTTTTTTTAAAAGGTTTCTCAAGCTTTCATTTAGATTAGGAGGTGCAAGAAGGCTGTGGTTTTTTATTTAACCTACCAAAGTTTGGTAGGTTTCTATCATTGTCTTAATTTTTCCAGAAGATTCTGCCTCTGTTGTCTTAGCTGATGCTATTCTTTAATTGTTTTGACTCTTGTGATCTTTCTGGAATACTTTCTCACATCTGTATGGTATTGTTGCTCCTGGAAGGGTGTTAAATTGATGCATGCTAAAGTCACAGAGCAGGCAAGTGATAACTAACATTTTCAGCTACATCTTAGCACTAAGACTAAATCATGAATTGACACTCCTTGTGGGTTCCTGATTTCTTATTCCATGGAGCAGTCATTTATGGCAACTAGAAAACTGGGTTTTGTCAGGTGATGGGGTGCGATAGATACCCAGTCTGTGTGGATGCACTTGAAGTCTCCAATTACTTTGACATTTCTTGGTTCTTGGCATCTCTGAGATTTCTCAGCAGGTGGTAATATAGCTTTAATACTGTATTTCTTGTGGAAATCCCAGAGAATCTCCCCCTCCAGCTGTGTTATCCAGACATCTAACTCAGGGTATGCCTTTTCCTCTGCTCACCCTAATGTTTTTCCTACATAATCAGCAGGTGGTAATAATACCTGGTGGTGGCATCCTACTTCTCATCTTTCTTTAATCAGATTCCTGACAAGATTGTCAGCCCAGTTTCAAACAATTTAGACTCATCTTTCACTCCTACATAAATGGATCCAGCACTTCTCTTGTGCCCTGCAGTGTATTCCTGGTACCACCCCCACCAGCTCCTTTTAAACTTTTGCCAAGAGCCTGCTCAGTTAACTTGTGAATTAGACCAGTTTTACGCAGTAGGAAGATTACAATGTGCCCCTTGTTGGCACTGCCAGCATAGTTGTGTGATTATTCAGAGCATCTTTCACATCTTCTTCCCCAAAACAAGAAGAGGTGTATAGAAAATGAACATCAGTGCTGAAAAATACTCCTAAGAAAATCTGGGAATTCCCAGTCAAGATTAGCCATGTTCAGATTGCTGAAGCCAGACAGAAAAGATAATCTCTTGGGTATCATTTTAGCCTGCTCATAAGCCTTTAGTTGACAGTTATTCTGTCTGACAACTTCCAGGTGACAGGTTGTTTTGTCTGTTGCCTAGATCTGCCTGTTTTCTCCTCCTTAGGATCGAAATTCTTTGTAGTGTGTTTACTGATGGTCAGCACTGTGGTTTCTGTAATCCCAGCAGGCTGGGTTGTTCAGTGGGAGTGGTTTAGGTCAGAAAAGAACACTGTGATCTTGTGTGTTTGTAGCATGCATCAGGGTCAGCTTTTCCTCACATACCCTAGCCTAAGGCTGAAATGACAGTAGAATGTGTTCTCATAGGAGCACGTACTAACTTGAAGGAACCAGGCTTGGGGAAGCGTGCATGCCTTGGTGCTTCTGCAGTTATGTACACTATGCCAAAAAGGTGTGTTATTTCTAAGAAGATTTACTCAAACTTCTGCCTGCCACATCTCGTTATTCTGTCTTGTCCTGTGTGGTGCTCTGGTGTCAGGTGTTTTCCCCCACTGCCGATACTCAGCCTGTCATCAAGTCACTTCTTCATCTCTCATCTTCTCAGTATGTGTTTCTGCAGAAGTTTAATTGTTTGTTCTTTGTTCAGCATCTGTTGGATGGACAGATCAGTTGGTTATCTCTCCATCTCCTCTCTGAATTTCTGTAGAAATACCCTTTGTTCTATGTACACAGAACCCTCCATGAGCTCTCTGGAGCGGGGATTTGGATCAGAGCAATTGCATAAGCTGGCGAGGCTAGCGAAACAGTCCGCGTGAATCGGTACTGGGGTGCGTTGGGCAGCCTGTGTGCCGAGTGCTGGCAGCCAGCTCTTCCTCCTGCAAGGAAGCGGGGGAGCACATTCAATCCCTTGCCAGAACCCAGCCTCGTCGTTTGCAAGTGAGCTGAGGTGTCGGGTGTTTGAGGCCAGCAGCTTTCCTAAGCCCGTTAGCCATCCTGCAGGGGCACTGCTGTGGAGATAATTCAGAAGATGACACCTGTGAGGGCGTGCATTCGAGTCTGCAGACACTCTGCTGTCACAGGTGACTGATTGTAGGATACCTTTTAATCACAGCAGTGCTGGAATTGTTTGGGCAGGTTTGGGTTGCCTGCTTTCCTGAGGTGAAGTGTGACTGTGTGACTGATGGTAAAACAGACCTTCATAACTTCTGTCACCAAGGTACTACTGTCAGATAGTGCTGGGCAGCATATTGCTAGTTTGGTAGCACAGCCAGTTTTGGGTGTGCTCACTAACTTAAGGTTAGGTTCTGTGTGATGAATACAGTGATTATCTGTTCCACTTCAAGAAAACTAGAACAACTGCCACATGTGACAAATTGGGCTGGGGGAGATAAATGAAGTGGGGGTATTAAATCCTGAAGAGGGGCCTCCCTTTTTTTTTGTCATTAAAAGTCCTGTGAAAGTGTGGCCTAGATTAGAAGGTCAATGTGAAGAAGGAAAGGACTCCTGCTTGAGGAGCTTCCTGTACAATTCTTTGTACAGAAGGCTGAACAGTACTACAATACCCAGTAAGTGTAGTATAATATCCCATATTGTGCAATTCCTAATATTCAATAGTTCTTTTCCTGGCAGTATTATGAATGGTCCAGATTTAGTGTATCACGCCAGTGTCAGCTGCTGTGAAATGTGCAGCTTGTCCTAGTCCTATCTTAAAATATTTGTGTTCCAGATCCAATAACACTTTAGGAATTCAGGAGCTGTGCTAGGTAATTTCACTCATGCTCACAACCTTGAGGATTTCAAGTACAGACACTAGCATCCATCTGCTAGTCACAGTAGCTGTCTGTCCACAGAAGTTTTAGGTGTGGATCTTGTACCATGGCGTGGATCGCAGACTGAACGGCAGCTTTAGCAGGAATGAAAAAAGAGGTAGTATAGAAGAAGTAGCTTCCCTGCTCCCATCCCATGCCCATTTGCTCAGGGCAAACAGGGTGCAGCTTTGTCAGCTTTTTTGGTTTGCTTCTGTTTTCTCTTCTAAGCTCTGAATTCCTATGGAAACAAGCAAGCCTCTCTAGAGTGCTGTAACTGGAAATGCCTCCTTCTTATCCAGTGGAAACACTGATTTTTGGGGGATCTTTGGCTGGTCATGTTTGGGTACTCACTAAGCAGCCACAGAGAAGGGTGTGATGGGTAGAATTCGTGAGTTCTGTCATTTCTTGCCATCACTGGGGTTGGAACATGGAGACAGACAGCAAAAAAGTGTATGCAAGAAAGCAGAGATGCACTCTGGTGTGGTGATGCAGGACAGAACGTGTTGGCTGTAAGGCAAATGCAAATACATCTGTCTCTGTGTATGCCTGTGTCAGAGGGCTGTGCCCACACCGTGGCCATGTTTATAGCCTGGCACTAGGAACGTACAGTACTTTGCACTCTGTGCACATCCTGATGTCCCTCCCTCTCTCTCTCTCTCCCTCTCTCTCTCTCTCTCTCTCTGCCCTGTTCATTAATGTCTTTATCTCCAAGCGTTTACAATTTAAAAGCAGAAAACCGGGAGGCAACTGCAGGAGGCTTCATTTTTAATCTGTTCAGCCGTGCTGCCCGTGGGGGAGGCTCCGCTTCCCTCGGCCGGGCGTGCGGGAGGGCTGGCTGCCGGCCG